TGATACCATATATGCCCCATAGCTGCAGAAAAGGCTAACATTGTTATCTTTTTACAAAGAAACCAGCTGAACATGAGAGGTTTTTGGACAAAGTTGGTGTTCTCCATTCTTTAAGCACCGGTTTGAGCACCGTTTAAGCACCGGCACCGTTTCAAAAGTACCGGTTTGGCACGGGTATTGGATAAAACCTAACGATACCCATCCCTAGTGATGAGCCACCCTTGTTGTGATCATTGTGTGGCCATAGCTCTCCGTTTGTGGTTGGTCACTAGCATGCTTGCTTTACTGAACTTTGGAGTTTAAAGTAACTTGTTGTGGTATGAGGCCACTTGTATGTGACCATTTGTGTGGTGGAGACAACAGATCACTTGGTTGTGGTTATTTGCTACTATTTTTGGTTTTGTGTTGTAGCAGGTCAAGTAATCATTTTGAGTTGTACTGTTGTACAGTGTTGGTCACATGTTACTTTTTGTGTGTTCAGTGTGGCAACTTCAAAATCCTCATGTAGGGGCATCCATGCTTAAAGATGCCAACTATAATGTGAACACCGTGCTTCTGTTGGCTTTTACTTTTTTTTTCAGGTTTGTGGGTCAAGGACCTGAAGGTTTCAGAGAGGCTTTTAATAAATTTAGGGGTCCTAGAGGAACCCTTTTGAGGGAGGAGGTGTTACGTCCCTCTGCAGCCCCTAATCATCTCAATGTGTTCAGCTGGTGCTAATTGGCCACACCTAGTCAGGTGTGGATAAAAGGACCTGAAAGCAAGCTTCCAAGAAGCTAACTTGTCTTTGCCTGGGTGGCACCAGCCATTTTGGCCGGCCTGTGATGCCATTGTAAGATTAAAACCTCTTACTATTTACACTCTGGTATTCGTCTCCTTTTTTATGTTGCGGCCTTGAGCCGGATCGTAACAGTTACAAACTACATTTTGGGGCATGTATTCTGTAATACGTAGTGGAATACATTTTAAAAGTAACCTTCTCAACACTGAACATAAATGTAAAGTAATTTTCTAGCCTGCATTACTACAATGCTAAAACCTTGATGTTAAAACAAAGAAGCTTTCTGAAAAATGTGCGTCACTATTTCCAGTTATTTATTGGTATATTTACATCTTAAAGGAACACTTAGGTAAAAAGTTATGTTATATGCTGATACAGTTTGCTTTTCAATCCATCCATTCATTCATTCATCTTCTTCCAATTAGCTGGGTCATGGGGAAAGCAGCCTAAGCAAAGAAGCCCAGAGCTCCTTCTACCCGGCCATGTCCTCCAGCTTGTCCAGAGAAACCACAAGGCGTTCCCTGGACAGCCAAGAGACAAAATCACTCCAGCATGTCCTGGGTCTACCACAGGGCCTCCTCCTCCTAGTGGGACATGCCTATCACAGTTCGCGCTGGCAAACCGCTCCCTCATGCCTGTGTACTCCGTGCCTGCCGCTCTCTCATTCCTGCAGCCCTCCTGGGAAAACAGAGGCAGCCGTTAGTACCATTAATTTCACTGGTAAGCTCACACTCACAAACTGACAAGCTGGAGAAATGATGGGAAGTCTTATGCAATGATCCAGCTTCAGAGAGAGCTCCACCATACTCCTAAGTAGCTCCTCTGACTAGGCTTGATCAGCTGCAGGTGTGATCATTTCCTCAGGTGTGGCCAGCCTCTAGACGGGACACACCCACCAGGCCTGCCTGAAACTAGGGCTGGGTATCGTCACTGATTTCTAGAATCGATTCAATTCCGATTCCCATGGTCCCGAATCGATTCGATTCGATTCGATTTGAATCTGGGAAATTTTGACAGTCAGAAATATTATAATTCAGATCAGTACATTTACATATTTTTGTATCTATAAAAAGGAAGCTGACACACGCA